TATATATATATATATGTATATATATATATATATATTTATATATTCATACATACAGGCATATATATATATATATATATATATATATATACATATACTTGTACATGGATTTATATATATATATATATAAATCCAATCTAAAAAATATATGCACATAGACTTGTACAAGTACTTATCCATGCATATGTATATGCACATGTATAGGTACGTGTATATGTACATATACACACATATATATATATACATATACATATACATACACATACACACACACACACATATATATATATATGTATGTATGTATTTATATTATATATATATATTATATATATGCATATATATATATATATATATATATATATATATATATATATATAAATCTATATACGTATGTACGTACGTACGTACATACATATATATATATATATATATATTTATTATATATGTATAAATCTATATGTCATATATATTATACATACAGTATATATATATATATTAATATATATAAATATATATATATATATATGTATATATATACATACATATATATATATATATATATATATATACATATATATATATATTAATAATAATTATCGGTATATATATTATATATATATATATATATATAGGTTGCTGGTGTAGGTAGTATGCTCCCCTATGTATACTATTTGTCATCCGTTGTCAGTTGCCGCTCTGCGCGTTTAGTCGGAGCCTTTCAGAAAACAAGAGTGTTCGTCCAATGTCGTGGAATATACTGAATGTACATGCTCACGAACAATCTCAAGTTATCATATAACGCACAGATAATGCATGTTAAATTGTTTATCGTTTTTGAATACAACATTCTTGCCCTATCAGTAGGAAGCCTTTTGCTAGTAATTATTGTGCAGGATTCGACATCGAGCCACCAGTGTGGAATTTGTTTCAAGAAATCCACACTCTCGCAACTATAGCCCGAAAACTGTTGACCCCATAACCACCCCCACCCCCATTTTTCTGTAATAAACATATATTCAGGGAATCGGTGAGTATTCAGTTCCGCTTGAGCAGATCAAAATGCAGTTAGAATGCTTTCAAAACAGATATCAACGAATCGAATCCGGAAACTCAAAAAAAAAATCTCTGGTCGCAACTGGCCCTTTGCTGTCGAACTGGGCTACGCCGATGTTGGCGTGGATGATGGGCCACCACGTGTGCCAGGGGTGCACCAAAATCCATGCCCCTGAGGGCTACTACAATATCAACATGGTTGTATTCCCCGATAAGCTCGGCATTGCAGCATATGCGCACACCTAGGTGTATCCATGGGCGTTCGTACCAACAACTGTTTTTGTCCAGAGACATTCTTCAACCCAGGCGGCCATACCCGATACCACCTACTAACCATGACGTCGACAAACGCTATCGCCAGGGATTCACTACAGTTCAAGTGGGTGGGTTTAGACCTAACTATCAGACCCACTTGTGGCGCGAGGCTGTTGCGAGGTCCACTGTAGAGTACCCACTAGTCCCTTTGAAGGCTAATACACTCAAGCTGACCATCGAGGATCGCGAACCGGCCCACAGGGATGCCATGACGTGGAGTGCCACAACGCGCGCGGGTGTGACCAGCGACAAGTGCACTTGCAATACCCTCTGCGTATGCAAGGACATAGCCGCTGAGTCATACACAGCCATGGTCAATTGGCAACACATCTTCGCTGATCTTAGACTTGGGCAGCAACTGGTTCGTCCTGGCTGCTGGTTCGTCCTGGCTGCTGGTTCGTCCTGGCTGCTGGTTCGTCCTGGCTGCTGGTCGTATGGTGACATGCTTCCGGTTGGCTACATGAATACCACTGACCAAGGCTGATCACACGTCGGCGAAATAGGCGATCGTGTCGTCTGCTTGGATAAATACTCAAATGCAGAACTACAGGACGTCGGCACGAATTCAGTTTGTCACAAAGGCATGTGAAGGCTTCAGATCTTGCATGGATCAAAGTGCGTCACGCATCATTTACGCGCACACATTTCCAATGCTCATGCATAGCTATACTACGCTCGACATTCATGCATACATACATACATACTTATACATCGCACAAAACGTACGTACGTATACGAGGCTTATACATAAATATGCGTGTATTTGCAAGAGGGGTTTCCAAACACACGTACACTAGAAATGTAAACAGACCTACATAAGTGTGCCATGAATGCGCGAATAGTGCTCGAACTGCGCACCACTAAGCCACAAATAAAACTGTAAACGATACCTACGGCCAGATGGCGACGTACTGACTACTACCATGTTCGCATATCACCAAGCGTTTGCATTGTTAAGTCAGTATTTTGTTTATTTCACATTTGGGTCACGCTGCACGGCTCGTGTGTTCGTCCTGGGGCAGGCCAATAGGCGCATGCGCACAGTGGACTATTCAGACATATCCCACCCAAGTCAACGCCTTCACGTAAAGGTTGCGGATCATTTCCGGACATCTAGAGTTTTGGGAATGAGCAGTGCGAGTTCCAGCAAAAAAAAAGAGAGGGAAAGTAAATAGTGCAGTCGGACTTGTTCTCTCCTTGCGGAGCGTTCAGTGGATGGGTGAGATATAAATATACAGCAACGCGAAGCAGCATAGCAGCCGACGTAGACGACGGGCTACAGGGAAAGGGATACGCATATGAATACGTTCCTGCTCGATGAGTACAGTAAAACGAATAGTCTCTGACAGCCATGCAACGCACAGACGAGACCATATAATCTGTGGCGAAAAGCGTCTGGGACGGGCGGTCGCTAAATTAAACATTCTAATAAGTAAACGAGGAAAGCATGTACCAACGAAACAGCGCACTTTGTTATTCAGAACCTACCGAAACGATAATGCAGATAACAATTAAAGCTATTGACTGATACAATTCAGACAAGATATACATATATATATATATATATATAATAATATTATATTTGAAAGAATATGTTACCTTGCGCTGTACAGGTAGCCGTCCACCGTGTGTTTGGTCATGGCCACAGACCGCTGAGTCTCTGGGCTAACACGGTACCTCAGACGTAGCAATTGGTAGTAGAAGAACACTCCAGCCAATTGCTGGTTACCCACGCCGAATAATCCTCTGGTGAAATGTGCGGAATAACAAACAAATATATGGCGACATCAGCAAATACATATGCCAGATCGGCATATAGGGAAGCAAACTGAGAGTCCACATTGACTGGTATATGTAGAGGGAGGAGACGGCGAGCGAGTATATTGCTGGTAAACAATTCTCGTTCGAATCAATATCAAGCGGTAACCATCATGCTGGGTATCATAATTACATACATGACGTAAACTCAGTAGATGCATGAAGCAACATTAACCTTTAAAACTTTAAGTTCATGTGATAAACCCTAGATATACTAAAGTAGAAACTGGCTATCAAAAGCTGCCAAATCTCGTCTGGCAGACAACAGGTATACCGCCACATAGGTTTAGGATGCGACTCCTCCCACAGTCATTTGTGTAGGTGTATTAAAACTTCGTTCCAACTTTCGACAAAACCACGGGCATTTTTTAACGCTACAGAAGTTTGACGATGCCAATCACACACAAATAGATTTGCCAGTTTGGTGACAATGTTCGGCGTTTAAGAGGTTTGAGGCCATATGGGGACATAGGGTAGTACTTCTATACACTGTGTTTCTACCCCTGCTAAACTATTAATCAACACACTGGAACATGTGTTCAGGAGCTCTTGGCTCTACTTAAAGGCAACCTTCCGTATGTTCTACAATGCAACCCACCGAACACCCAGGAAACATCCACACCATCAGATCACATACGTAAAAACAAGTGACATACAGGATGGCAAAGACCAGGATGATGAAGAACAACTTCACTTCTAGATCGGCAGCCATGACCAACGCAGGTTGTCTCATCTGCTCGAACATCCGCGTGAGCTCAAAGCTACGGCTGCAAGTGGGAGAGGTACAGTGTACGGTAGGACGTCAGAGACTGCCTAAGAGACACGGGGAGTGATTGAAGTCTGGATATACCTTTGTCATTTAGCTTTTGGCGTACTGTCGGTAAATCCAAAGGGTCATCATGGTATATCCATTTCATACGGCGATGTAAGCGCATACTACTCAGTGAGCCATGAGATTCACCTGATCAAACTCAGCTATCTAGCACCCATACGGGGCCCATCAACACACCTCACTCATGTATATATAAACAGGTGCATGAGGTGACGTGGATAAGAGTTATCCTACTTACAATTCAGCCGCCACAGACGGAGCTACCGCGGGCACGAAGCTCAGCTTGACCCAGTTGAATACCTGGAAGGTCGAGTAGACGAATAGCGGCCAGAGTGCAGCTGGGATACGAAGAAGTGAGCACATGCGTGAGTTACAATAGATGTAAAATCAAAACAATAGCAAATCGGCGGGACGGAATGACATGTGTGACACACAATGGCCGGGTTCATAAAGGTGTCGGGAGTGCTTGAGGGGAGTCAAGTGTAGTGCAAGGCAATCCGACTGGTATACAGCAACCCAGCACTAAACCAATGCAATACATTGGTGAGCATCTCTTTTATGCGAACAGATGCATCAGCTTGGTACGTCGTTCAATTGGGATACAGCAACACTGAGGACACAACGAATGACACCACAGTACACAGGCAGTCTTACCTCCCAGCCTGGTCTCGTCATCGATGATGAAAATGATGGAGTACAGCAGGAAGTGCGTATTACCACTGTCTAACATTTTTCTCAAGTATTCCCTGTTGAACTGCGGCATCTGCAGTATAGTTGGAACGGCAGCGTACAAACGTTTTAAGTCTCTGGGCTTAACTAGAAGCTACTGGGCTCTAAGTAGACTTGAGCGCGCGCCATGTGATTTAAGCTCGGCATATACAATACACAGTGGCATTTGGGTGTAGTGATTGTAAGAGGTGTCGTCCTTTGTGAGATTCAGCAATAGTCCTGGTGCATACGTGTCAATGAACACAGTAAGCTTGCAAGCTGGTCGCCACCACCAACTGACGTACATCAGAATATGTGCACTGAATGCAAGGCGAGTACTGCAAACATGGTTTGCAATACACATATGTACGCCTGCGCTTGAGATACACATACCTCTAGCCCAGTCTATCTAGAACGCTCCATAGAAGCTAGAAACACAGACCACAGAAGTCAGCTAAAACAGAACACGCGCATTGATTGTGCCTGGCACAATCGATTCGACACATGCAGAGAAGACACATCAATGCCACCAACACCCCCGACAGGGTAAACCAAGAGACATAGACAGCTTGCAGAGAAGCTCACATACCCCTAGCTCGGTGTACGTGGAGAAGGCGTATAGAATCATCGACACCTTCAGTGGGCGATGGTAGGCCACCACGTTCCAGCCGAAGTACGGGATATAGAACCAGAAGGACAGGAACAGATAGCTCATGTGCAGCAACGCCCAGGCACTCTGCAGTTTATTGCCCATGACTAGCGACTTCAGCTGACTCATTTCCATGGCGCTTACTAAATCAATGAGAGGGGGAAAGGGAGGGGATAATATCACGTTAGAAAGACACGAAGAAAAGCCATTATTACGCATGAATAGACATAAATATTTACACAAGTTTCTGTTTCTGTATTTGTATATCATGCTTATTTTTATGTATATATATGTATATATATATATATATATATATATATATATATATATATTCTAGTATATATATATATACGTATGTATATATTATATATATATATATATATATATATATATATATATATACATATGT